AAACCTGGTCAATACTGACTTTCCTATCTCTGGGAATGGTCATTTTTACATCACTTGCACAAGTCAGCAACACATTAATTTTTAGAATCAACAGAATTGTATGCCACTTTCATAACTGGGTATCAAATTCAATACCTGAATTATGTCCTTTCTAGAGCATTGATATTAAGTATTTCCCTACTGTAGAGAGATGCAAAAAGGTTTCCCAAGTTTACTAATATAGAGTAGTTACTATTCAGAAAAGGAGTGTGTTGTTTAAAGAAAACAAAAGCTATGAAAATATAGATCTATAGGGAAAATGTTAGAGGGCTCCATAAAATAATTTCCTATAGGGTTTCATTAGATTAAAAACTCAACGAGCATATTTGTAATAGGACACATCCTTTTCTTACATGATATATTTATTTATACATTTCTAGAACATATAAAGCATCAAAGTAAAATATGTTTTAATAATTAATTATTTTAGCAACACAGTAAACTAAATAATATATAATTTTCATGGCATGGTGTTTTCCTATAAAAATATTAATCAGGATCTATTTAAACAATCCATGAACATTTTCCTTCATTCTACTTGAAATTTAAAATTCTACAAACTACAGTATGGTGGAACAAGGCAAGGAGTACTTGTAAATTTCTAATGCGACGTTTTATTTTAATTAACCTATAGTTAAATTGTATAAAATTATATATATGTGTGTTCTTTTTACCAGGATGAATGTTTAAAAATTCGAGGTTTCATTATTTTGCCAACCACTTTCCTCTAGATGTTAACATCTGGTGAATTCTTTTTACTCGCTCAGATACACGAAGCGTTTGCTTTTTAACAAACAACGAGAAAGAATAAATTGGTAAAGAACAGTAAGAGCACTACTGGGCAGTATCCTCATTATATTCTCTTGCAGAAAATTTGGAGATGTGTGTTCTTTTTGCCTTGTACACTTTATTGTCAGTTAGTATTTATTGACATTTCATGTGCTCAGAGTGCATCCCAAACTTACTGGGTACTTTATTAAGAAACATAGAATCTAGAGGAGGATCTCAGTTCAGCATTAGGATGAGCAAGAGAAGAAAATAGATAGGGATTGCAGACATTCAATTAGGTTTCTATATTTCTCCAAACATAGACGCTTACCTAAATGGACTAGATCCTCCAAATGTGGATAAACTCAAAAAAGAGTGGCCACTTGCACTCAATGAGTAAAAGAGATAAAAGATAGGAGGCAGAAATGATTTGTATATCAAAGGAAATAGATTTTTCCCTTAAGAGTTCTATGCTATTAAGATATTTTATTTATTTTGTTAAAGATTAAGAGGTTATTATACTCATTATATAACTCTGGTGAGGGTTTATACAACTTCTTTGGTAAGAATTCTGAAAATATGTAGTAAGAGCCTTTAACAAAATTATTTCCTTTTATCCAGTATTTTTCCTTTTAGGAATCTGTCCTGTTGAAATAATTATAAAGTCAGGGGAAACATATATAGGTAAAGATCATCACATCATTGTTTATAATAATGAGAATTGAAAAAAATCCAAATTTCCAGATATATAAAATTATAGGACATTCACATGGATATAATGTAGTCATTAAAAGGGTTTCTAAGAACATTTAATAGGAGTAGAATGTGTTTACAGTGTAGAGTGTAAGAAACAAGATGCTTTTCTCTATTTCCCTCAAATTTCTACCATTAACCTGTATAATTATTTTTAAAGCAAAAGCAAAAATTTAAATAAAGTGATACTCATGTTTAGATGAGTTATTAATGATAATTTTCAGTAAATTCTGAGTTATAAAATATAATCTGTCTCACTAGGTCGAGGGTAGGGTGGATTTCTACTCTTTGAAAGTCTGGTAGTGATGGAATATACCATCCTCTTCTCTGGAAATTTCTGAAAGTGGGCTCCTGGCCATAACAGGCAGGCCATGTCTCTGAATTACATCCTCAGGGCTCAAACTCAGCAAGACGATTGTTTGTCTTTTGATTCCCTTGACTACAGCAGCCTGAAAGAACTTAGTCAGGCTCACCTCCTGGATTGACCTTCAGAATTATATAGTGTGATTTCTGGGCCTTTTGCCCAAGAAGCTGCTGCCTATATATTTGCTGATACCTCAAAGTTATTTAAAATGGACAGCTTTCTTTTTTCACATTTAGAAACAACACAGAGATGTCACTTAAAGTGGAAATGCCAACGCGTAACCACACATTGATTGCAATTCAAACCCATCAATTTATGTATTTCGTATGAATTTAGTTTCCATTATATATCTTTTCCCTAAGTGCTTTGCTTTTTAGTGTCTTTTGCTTTCTACAGTGAAATAGTTTAAACGATCATGATTAGATCCTTTCCAGTTTGAGAAAATGAAGGCACTAGAACAGGAGGACACAAAGGATGTAGAAAAGGGGAAAGGTAAGCATGGCCAGCAGATGGCAGAGAAAAGCAAATCTGCAGATGAAGCGCAAATCCATGAACTTCATGATTTTATCAAAGTTCATTAGTAATGAATTATATATATTTGTGAACAAACTAGAGAACCAACAGACTAGCAGTTAACAGGGTTGATTGGATATGTGTGTAACTTAGCCAGGATGCTCAAGTTAGGTCACCAGACATGTACCAGCTCAGCTTTTTGTAGTTTCTGATGATTTTTCTTACAGTATAGCTCATACAAGAGTTTTATTATCCTCTGAGGTCATTGCTCAATTTGAGAACAGGTTGAGGCAGACCCCTCAGGTCTTTTGAACAACGAAATTCTGTTGAAGATTCTGATTTTCTCATAAGAGAACCACTTATAGGTTCCCCATTGCTGGTGCAAGCCACACTCCTTACTCCCACCCATGACTCTTCACTCAGTCTCCCTTTCTTAGTATTTGATATCACATTTTAAACCGGTTGGAATTGATAGATTTTTCAAATCTAGAAAGGGCAAAAATTAAATCTTCAAGGAAGTGAAAAGTTAAAGTATATATTTTAAAAAACAAGTATATTTTAGGCATCTCGTGTCTTTGTCTTTAATATTCTCTCCTATTTTCACTTAACTTTTTTGATCTGTTATTCATCTACTAGCAACACTACCAAGGTAACAACAATAATAGCAATGTAGTTATTTCAAATCAAATGTTGCTCAAAAATTCAAAGATTAAGGTTACATTTTTCTAGCTAGTGAATTATTTATCTGATACACTAAGAACGAGAATCAGAAAATAAAAACAACAGGTATTTAAAAGAATCCACTAGTTTAGTTGGTGGTTAAAGAGAGTTCATGTCCTCTTTTCAGTGACAATAAAGGAGTTAGAGTATTTTTAGAGCATTTTGATAACAGACATATCCATATTTCTTCAAATGAATGTATATCAAACCTTGAAATTTGCATAAGAAATTTTTATACTTTAATTTGATGTGGTTAGTCTTTATGACTTTGTTCAAGAGAAAGTAATGTTTTTAAAAATAGCTTTACGAATTCTTCCATTTTGTAAAACAGTGTAGTAGGAGGTAGAGGACAACACGATTTATTCCAAATTCAGGGACAATAAAAAGAAACCCCATGGGCAACTATCAACCATAAAATTCTTTTAATTATGTTTTCAAGTAAAGACACACAATTAATTTTATTTCTGCTATGTTCATTACAGATAACTGGTACTATAAACCCCCTCATTCTTGGCCCAAAAGTTTATAGTTTTGCATAACTCCTTAGACATACATCTTCCTAAGAGTTACTGAAAGATCTGTAGAAGCATCATGGCCACTTATGAAAATTTATATTTCAAAATTTCCTAATAAAGTAGCAATAAATTCTAATATAATTCAATATACCATAGCATAAATAAAGAGCAAGATACAATTTTAGTATATCTATTTGTTTCATTTGTGTCATTGTTTTAACGTTACTTATAGTCTTCCATCTCAAAATAACAACTATAATACTACTTGCATGTATATTACATTAACTCAAGAGGCTTGAATTTGCCACCAAAGAAGCATATTAATACCCTGACTTGTATAAATCTTGCATATGTTCATGCCTCAAAGTTAGCAAATATGAGCATTTCAAGTGTTAGCAATCCATTGACCACAATAATTTTGTAGGTTCTAAACAATCATCGTATCTTTGTGCACTCCAGGAACAATAATAACACTGATAACTTAAGGGATGGGATACTGATTCTTTTTAGTTGTATATAGTAAATGCATTTTTACTCTCAAGTGATTAATATAAGAAGAAATTCTTTAATAAACATGAATATTCAGTTAAAATGAGACTTTTGATAATCTTTCATACCACATCACTAAAAACAAAAAAAATTCTGCTGAACTTTATGATGTGTACATGCATACTACATTTCTCTTGCATAAGAGAATATAACTGAATTTACTATATATATTTATACTTAATTGGGAAAATTTTAATAAATTGGTATAACTGAGTATAGCTAAATCAGACTTGAAAATTCTAGACTAACCTCTAAAATAATTATGTTAGAATTCTGATTTGTGTACAACTGAATATTTTTAAAGGCATATTTTGCCCATGCCCTTATGTCCCAAATTTACTAATCCCTTAGCCAAAAGTCAGTTGTTCACATTAAATTAAAAATGTTTTAATTATGATAATTATATTTATTTTAATGAATTGTACCCTTTTCCCTAAATTTCAGAAATTGTATTTTAATATTAATAGTTATTATATAGTCAAATAGTTCTATACTGTCTGTTTTAAAAACAATTCAAACATTATAAGATGACATTATAGCCTATCTCATTTCTCAACAACCATCTAAATAGCACATGAGTTTTCACAACAATATATCCAGTTAGGTCCTAAGGCATGCACTGCAGGGAACAGAATGTCCAGGTATGCTGGCATTTGCTAATTCTGCTCCTTATAAATACACATTGGTTAAGCTCAGCGTATTGCATCAGGTTATAATCTAGGCTTATTAACCGTCAGAATGTATTGAGAAAAGTGTATTTATTAGAATTAAAGAATTACTCACCCAGCTGGGTCTCCTGAATTGTCAGTTTGCTTTCCACAGGATACAAAAGTTTGGGTGGCTTATCGGTCAGAGGAGCTGAAAAACAACAACGATAATAATATAGAGACTTACAGTTAAGCTGCATGAACAAAAGGATAGAATACAGTTTATTTTCCCAAATATTTTTCATTCTCAAAGTAGTATCAAAGCACGCTACCAATTAATAACATACATATTGCAGGTGGCACCTTCAGGCAACCTGAAAAGCGATTAAGTTGTATACAAGTAAAATGTAATACTTCCAAATTGACAGTCACATGACACTAATGAATTACTGAATCAGGATTGGTCAGTCCTTAAGAACATATGCCTGTGCTTCATGAAACATTTCCAATTTCTATCTTGTTTATCTTTTAAAGGGCTGCCCTACATTTTTTTCTGTGTTGATTAAAGCTACAGAGGATATATGTGGCATGTATTACAATGTTAATGATTTTTTTGGCATAAATTTTTATCATTCTTCTTAATTCCTTTTGTAGTTCCCATACCTTGGATCATATCACCCCCAAACCTCCCAGTTAGTAATTACATTAAGAATTTCCTACGTACATATTCTCTAAATGGGCAGCAATGTGGTATCAAATCAGTACGAGCACAAGCAAGCACACCCACGCCAAGGGAATATTTTTAAATGATATTTTCCAGTTATTCTAAACCCTTTATTATTACTATTATCCATTACATTTTATGTTACTTATTGCTAATTTCCAGGATATACTCTCTTTGATTTTAAGCTTCTGCACATTTGTTCTTTGTGTTTTCATCAATTTCAATTATCAGCCTACAAATCTAAGACTTTGCTATTAGGCATCTTAAAGATAGTTTTCCCATTGCATAGTTCATTCCTAGCCAAACTAGACTATTTAGACTTTAGACAAATAGTCAGTTCTCCTTCATTAAGCTTCCCCCCATACCCCGCCTTTTCTGATTGAATTGCCTAAGTCCCTTGAAACCTGTCACTGCAACTTCTACTCTGTATCAAGTACAGAAATGATCAATTAAGGGTTGTTGAACTAAATGTTTTTGCTTTGAGGGCTTTCTTCCTTGCCAGGAGGACATGCCAGCTTGGTTGATAACTGGAAGGCTGATCTAGACAGAACTGCCAGGAGTTGGCCACATACACTTACTGCCAAGAGATTTAAGAAATTCAAGCTGCTTCCACAGTTTGTCTCCATCTCTCTTTAACAGAAAACACAATCAGTACAAAGAAGTGATGCACCATAAATAAGAAAACAAAAAAAGAATTCGTTTTGAGTCCTAGTTTGGGAGACCAACCTCACATATGATTGATAGCTTTTGTTCATAACTAATTGAAAGTATTATTCATTCATCTTTATTACTATTTAACAAGGGATGAAATAAAGGGCAAAGGAAAGTTTGGGTAATAGGATGAGATCAATGGCTTTGAAATTCTTCTCAAAGATATGACATCACTCTGATTAACGTTAAATTCTCTTATTTCTTGCCTAAAGTGATCTTAATGGATTTTATTCTCCTACCACCTAATCAGCTTATTCATGTTGGCAAAATAGTTTGTCATTAATAGGTCAAAAAGCCACATTTATTAAACTCTGGCTATCAAATTATTTCAGTGAACTTCAAAGGCAACTATGGTATCAAAATAAGTGGTTTATTCAGTAAATTAAGTCAATTTATAAAATCTTGTGATTATGTGGTTATAAGTAGACAACTTGACAGTTTGTTATTGAAAGAAGCTGAGAGAAATGTTCCCTGTTTAAACACATCCCACACTAGGTTGTGGTAAGGGAAAAATAAAGATCTACAGAGAAAGATAATAAAATCCATATGTAACACATTTGTTCAGAAATAAAAAATGGTTTTGTGGTTCTTCACCCCAACCCGCCACCCACTCTTGGCATAATGTTACATCTTTAAGATCTTTCATATTACTCTCATGTGACAAACTACAAGTTAACAAAGGAATTCTTTGAGGCTCAGTCACGGAACCATAAAATGTTAGAGACAGACAGACTTACGTGTTTAAGTTCTTTGATTTTTAAACCATGTTTTCTAAAACTGTATGATTTGCACCAAGTCCTTCTGGGCAGGTGAATTGAAAACGGAGATGGGGGTGGCCCACTGGGCTTGGCTTCATGCCTCGTCGTGCCATCCACTGCTCTTTGACAAAAGTAATTCTACTTTTATTTATCTTATACATCAGTATTTCACCCAAGATGTTTACCAAACAAATTCAATTCAATTCAAGTGATATAAATTAATATTAAACACTACAATGTACCAGACATTGTGAGAGGGGCTTTGGAATTTCTCTGGTTTCTTCCCTTATACCTTACAGTGCTCTGTACTTTAAAAAATAATAAAAAATCCTGGGCTGATTCAACTCCCTTGTTTCAGAGATCAAGGATGTAAGGTACAAAAAGATCAAATGGCTTGCCAAAGGTAACACAGCAAATTCAAGCTGGAATTCTTGTTAGATCTTTTCTTCCCAATTCTTTGTTATACGCTCCTTGAAAAGTCTTTCAAGCAACTATCACATAGGCCTGTGCAAAGTCTCCCCTCAAGGTGTGTGCAATCTTTTAGAAGAGAGAAAACATTCAGCGAAGTCATCATAACCTAAAGTAGAGAGCTCTTGCAATGCAATCTGCCATCATCTGTGTCATGTTTTGGTATTATGCCATGATGGATATCAATTAAACATATTTCTCATATAATTTTCCTGTCTTTGATAGAAGTGAATGGAAACTTCCATATAACACAACAGCTGAATTGCTGACTTGACATATTGGTAAAATGACTGTGAAAAAGAGGTGACCACTAAAGATAAGATGTAGCTCAGTTCCAGCGTCATTTGAGAGTGACCAATTCAGCTCATGTCAGAAAGACATGAGCTGAATTATCCATTATTTGATTGTTTCTGGTACATCATGGTGTTTAATAAATATTAGTTGAACTGAATTGACAGAAAATCTGCAAAACAAATGCAAGAATGGTAATGACCAATCAAGATGAACATATACACAAACACAAGACCCTCTTTATTTTCTGCATTGGCAAAGATGAAACTGGCGGGGAATTAAAACAAATTAAAATTTAAAAAGCAAGGTTGTTAGCATCAGACAATGACTTCACCAACTGACATTTTATTGTCAAGAAAACAACTCTTCTTTGGGGACACTTCTTTCCTTCTCTAACACACACACATACACATACACACACTCACTCAAAACTGAAATCACTTGAAAAACTAAAGAAAATCCAACACTAGTGATATGAAACACAAGATGATTTTAAATCCTAACCATATTTTCTCTACCAAAATACAAAATTATAGTAGAGATGTTTGTCTCACTAATTATGTGTTAAATATAGCTTTGTATCCACCAACAAAAGTGATTTTGAGCCTTCATTTTGTTCTTCAGAACACCCTAATAACACCATTAAAGCTGACATAATCATTTAAAATAATAACATATCTCTCTTACAGAGTTATTAATGTCTCAATTGATAAAACTATTCTGCAGAGTAGAAGGGGAATTTTAAGGACATTAATTTTGCTTACCAGGTGCCAGTTAGAAATATCTAGAAGTTGGTATACACGAAGGTGTGTACAGGATTGATTCCTTATCTATAATTAAATTCTCTAACTATTCATGAAGGAATGCAGTCCCTCTTTTCTCCATTCTCTGTACACTTGAGTTACAGAACAGTAAAAAGGAGGACATTGTCTTCCTAAAACAAAACCAACAACTGACCAGAGTAAATAGGCCAGGATTCTTGAGTCTTTCCAATGTTCTCAAAAGGTGAGAAATTTGAAGTATCTAGGATAAACATACCTTTCTCTGTTGAACAATTGCCCCTCAAAATTTAATTTTAATCCCTCACATACTAAAAAAATCCCTCACATATTACTGAGAATATTCAATACTTCGTAGATACTTATTCTATCACAAAATTTACTCTTTCAAAACCATAGATAATTTTCATAATTTATTTGAACTAGTTCCTTTCTTTGCTTTGTTTCTTGGAAGAATTGTGTTAAAGTAGGAAGATCACACACTTAGCTCTGAGGGAGACATCGTTTTAATAATTCCTGACTCTGCCTTGTTGGTTTGGCAATTTGGAGAAGTTATTTAAAGGTTGCAGTCTCAGTCTTATTTTATGTAAAATATGACATATATGGTCTCCCCACATGGACTGGTGTGAGGATTAAATAGGATACAGAGTAAGTGCTTGCATGCAGTAGATGAAAATAAATCTGTTCTAATTATATCCATCAAAGTTTGGGACAACAGCATTTAGCAGCCTATTTAGCCTGATAAGAAAAATATTACAAAAAAAAAAGAAAAAGAAAAATATTACTATTTGTGAAATAATGAACTGGATATTTAATCAAGGGTTCAAAAGTGGTTTCGACCCAGATTTAAGAATCATTAACACTTCCCACATTAGTTGCCATAGCAGGGGAATTGATCTGTCTTTCAAGAATTCACTCTAACAAAAACATTAGTTAAAATGGCATCATCAAAAAAATGGGCAATAATGAATGCTGCAGAAAATATGGAGAAACGGGAACACTCACACACTGTTGGTAAGAATGACTATGGAGAACAGTATGGAGGTTCCTCAAAAAACTAAAAGCAGAACTACCATGTCATCCAGCAATCTCCTGCTGGGTATATATCCAAAGGAGGGAACTTCAGTATATCGAAGAGGTATCTGTACTCCCATGTTTATTGCAGCACTACTCACAATAACCAAGATTTGGAATCAACCTAAGTGTCCATCAGTGGATGAACGGATAAAGAAATTGCAGTACATATACACAATGTGATATTATATAGCCACAAAAATGAATGAAATCCTGCCATTTGCAACAACATGGATGCAACTGAAGAACATTATTTTAAGTGAAATAAGCCAAGCACAGGAAGACAAATCTTGCTTGTTCTCGCTCATATGTGGGAGCTAATTAATAATATTAAAAACAATTGATCTCATGGAGACAGAGTAGAAAGATGGTTACCGGAGGCTGGAAAGGGTAGCAGGGAGGGGGA